ATATATATATATATATATACTTACCATACAGTCGACAGTTAAAGTTGACAAAAACCAACCTAGAAATAGACGGCTTAAAGCCGACTTTAATAGTCGGCTTTAACTTGACTGAAAAAAGTCGACTATTAGCCGGCAAACAGTCATTCGTGCTGTGTGGGATGTTGGATCCGCCATCTTAAATTTCGGGAATCTGATTATGGATTCGTAAACAGCGACTCCGATAACCACCAGATATACATTTTCATAAAATTTGGATCGTTTTTCGAACTCGGGTCCGTAATATTGGATCCGCTATCTTGGATTTTAGAAATCTGGCCACGGATTCGTAATCAGCTACCCCAAAAATCCTTGAGGGAAGATCTGGAAACTCTGAAAATTACTTTCGAAAATAATAAATTTTCTCCAAAAAAATTGCAATTTTTCAACGTTTGTTTATTTGTATAAACAAAATTACCCATGATTTCGAATTACTGCACATCGATTTTTATTCTTGAATGTATAATAACTGATACCAAAACACAAAAAAGCTCGAAAATTGAGTGAAAACTACCTCAGTTATTCAGAAAATAGTTATGGAAAAGGTGGCATTCCACAATACCACTGTGATGCAAAGGGTTAATAATGCACGCATACATACTTACAAATCGGTAAAATAGCGACATTCTTGGAGTTTGATTCTAGTTTAAGATCGCCTTACGCGAAAAAAATATGCATATCTGGTCTTTTTTAAGATAGGAATGTTCCTGATCAACCGTGGATCTCTAATAAATTATCATCGGATGCTGAATAATCTCTTCGAAGAGGAGCTTCTGCAAAACGATCAGAAAATCCGAGTGATAATGTTTTCGCCCCTATTCACAATATATATTCTGGCCTATGGATATTTTGCAATTATAATATTGTTAATCTTGTCATATTTTGCACCTGCCTATATCTTCATAATCTACAACCTCTGTCACTTCCGTTTAACCACAAATTACACGCTGCCAATCAGCAGGGGATACGGACACTTCTGGACCGTTCCCGATAACTTTTTGTATCATTTTCATCTATTCTTTGAGACGATCCTAGCAATATTCAATGGCTTGACGTCGGTCAGCGTTGAAAACGTCTTTGGCTTTTATGTCTACCAGTTCAGCTCGACAATGCGCGCCATGACTTTCAAGCTCATGAATCCTCCACACACTGAGAACTTCTCGGATCTATTAAGGACATGCTTGGCAAAGCATCAAAAATTATTGCAATGCTGCAACACGCTAGAGCACATTTTTGGACCTATCATTTTTTGGCATATTGGCACCAATGCCGTGATGCTTTGTGCGTCGTTATATGAGATGTTATCAGTACGTGGGTATATTAATTAATATAAAAATTAATATTGTAAGGCCATGCTGGAAGATCGGAAAAATATGCACGAAGTCGATAAAACAGTCTGTTCAATTTCAGTGGTATTTCCAAATAAACTTCTTACAATATCTTCTATACGTCTCACTCAAACACGTACATTGTCCTTATCTAACTTATTGAAGCGCCATCTTTTGCAAAATCCGGCACTTACTACTAGACGCAATTTTTGCTATTTTTTTTTACCATTCTGTATCTTGGCTAAGCGTACAAATTACCATAAATTGCAATCGTAATGATATCTTTTTTTTCTATGATTTCAATCGTAGCTCAAAAATCCTTGTATTATATTTGTTCACATGTAATCCGATGGGCGCGAGCTATTCATTTTGTACATATAAACTACAGAACTTTTATACTAATGAAATGTTTACATCAGATGATAGCTGTACCACAGTATAACCAGTAGGTTATAATGTGTCGGGATCTTTAATCTCCTTTTCCAGATCATGTGAGCATCTATCATGTTAAATCCAGGACCTAATTGAGAAAAATGCTTCACAAGTAGTAAAATATATAAGTAATAATAATATGGATTTGATATGGTAAATCAATAAATTCAATGTGTGAATCGAATAAAACGTTTTATTAGTAACAATTATTCGTAGGAGTAATCACAAAAAAAATTCTGATATAATTGTTTATAAATTGTCTACACATATGTATGTACGTTACAACCGTCTTGCATTTCATTGGATCCAACCCAAAACAAAAGTTGCGCGGCGATACCTGCGCAAACACTCAGTTTTTTGCGGAGTGTACCTGCTGGTTATACTGTGGCTGTACGACTCGAAAAAAAGTAATTTTTTAATTTTTTTCGTTTTTACTACAAATTCCTATTAACTCGCGCCCTTACATTTTATGTCTATTTTAATCTTGTAAAAGCGTTTTCAATTCCATTCAATTATTCCGGAGTTATTTTTGCGACTGCAATGTGTCGGTAATTCCGACCTTCCAGCATTACCTTAAGGCGATCCTAAAATCGTCTGTTTTATCGACCGAATGTGATTTTTTCCCGCATAGAATAAACATATTTAAAGACAACAGATTAAAAAATCCTTTTCCACAATTAAAGTATAGACATCAACGTAGCTCAGGCTGGTAAAGCTTTACAGAGAACAAAAAAGTTTGTGTATAGAGCTGTCAACTTGTATCAATATTTGCTTCCTAAAATAATTTGGCAGTTTGTTTGTACAAAATGATATCAGCATGAGCTGCGAATTACATATATAAACGATGTTGAGTTGATAAAATTAGGTTTGGATGCGTAATAAAAAACATTATATAGTTGAATATTTGTTACGATGTGTGCGCGCAATATCGATTTTGTAGTTAACATGAACACACCACTATATATTACTATTCCACTACACACTACATACAAACTTAAAAAATGTCGCTGTTTTACCGATAATTTGTGAGTATGTATGCGTGCTGTATTAAAGTAATAGTGTGTAGTGATCATGTTAACTATACCAAATCGATATCGCGTATATACATCGTAACAAATTTTCAACCATAAATTTTTTTTTATTAGGCATCCAAGCCTAATTTTATGAACTCAACATTGTTTGCACATAATTTGTAGTTCCAGTTGGTATTATTTTGTACCAACAAACTGCCAAATTTTTGTATGAAACAAATATTGGCACACTTTGACAGCTCTAGACGCCATATTGGACTAAGAAAAGGTACCGGAGATCTAAATTTCATAAATTTTTTACGTTCTCAGCATAATCTCTACCAGCCGGAACTACATTGATGCCTATATACTTTAATTGTAGAGAAGAATTTTTAAATCTTTTACTTTTAATTATTTATGTTTTGTCATGAAAAATAATCACGTTCGGTTGATAAAACAGACGACTTTAGGATCGCCTTAAACAAGTGAAGTTTTCATATTCGTTAAACGACTGCATTTGACTGCATTTGCAAAAATGGTCCTTTTTACTTCAATGTTGAATAACTCGGTGAAAAAAAATCGTACAACGCTCAACAAAAAAGCAAATTGAAGGTAAAGATTCACTCTTTCAAAAGCTGTAAACTGCATTTGCATGGGATTTTTAATTTGCGCCATGGAACTTGTCAAAGTTTGTAAAAAATTTAGAGATTAGTCGGGTCTCCTTTTCTATCCGTGTAGTTCCATGAAAGATCAGTAAGATTGTTTTCTAAAGTATCGATTTGGAAAGTAGAGATTTCAAGCTGTAAAATGCTTTTTTGAATATCTCGATACGATCATTTTTGACGAAGTCACACTCTCTTGAATTTTGCCTATTTTTGGAGGGTAGAGTAAGTGCTTTAATTTTGTTGAGAAGTGTACAATTAAAGCAAAATAAAATATTATAAATTCTACTCTGTAAAAAAAGTATAAAGAAAGGTATGATGAATGTTAGAAAAAAGACTGCACTGCAATCTTTTACAAGTTTTTCATGCTATGTGTGATAGTATCTCATTGCGCAAATAGTTGCTAATATAACATTATTAATTACTAAATATCTTTGCAATAGTTGCCGAACTTAAATTTTAATAATGTATCAGAGTTTCTGACATACGCGTTAGTAAAACTTCTCCAAACGTATATATACACCTGGTATGGTACGGTTCTCACAAGTGCAGTAAGTTTAATGATTTAATATTTTATAAAACGATTCTTTATAATTAAAAATTAATCACGCCATATATATTATATATTTAGAGTGAAGACTTTCGTAAAGGAGTATACTTTGGTGAATGGTTTAAATCGGGTTTAAACCGTCAAATGAGGACTAACGTTATTATGATGCTGATGCAAAAGCCGATGATTATAAACGCATTTTACTTCCCTATCGATATAACCATATTTACCAGTGTAAGTATTTAAATCAAAATTGCCCGAGCAAATCTGTACGGAAGATGACTTTCGAGTAAATTACTTTCAGTCTTTACACTTATTATTTCAAAATAATAGGTCTATTTTATTTTTGCAAAAATTAAAGTAATTCAAGATTTAAGAGAATAAAAACGCATAAGATATATGAAATTTAAAACTTGAGAAAATAAGATTAAAAATTATGAATTCAATACTATTCAGCAAAAAAATATGTTTTAAATAGAAATCTATATATACCTACTATAAAATTTATATAGAAGAAGTTATGAAAAATTACAAGATTTCAATTATTATTTAAACACGTCAATTAGAAACTTACTTTCATAAAGTTGATTTTCTCAAATTCCTATCAATTAATTGTATTTTTTGCAGAACTTACAAAATCTCAACATTGGTTAATAATTTTTACGACTACTAATTACGTATAATACTTTTGACATATTGACCTAATCCTTTTGCTTTCATTGATAGTTTGTGAATGCTGCAATGTCCTACTTCTTCCTGCTGCAATCTGTTGGTAATAAAGGTGAATGAAGATCCGATGGACGCAATGCATATTTTGTAAGCGCTGTAAACACGTAAAGTTGTTACATTATTAAGAATTCATACAGTATAAAATATTTTTATTTTATTTAAACAATATTTTTTAAAAAGATTAAAATACATTTCTCTAAAAAAAAACATGTTAAGTCGGACTCGAAATGTATCGTTGTTCTCGAAGTTATTATTGACTCTGCCGCGACGCGGATTCGTTCTCTCGCTGCGCTAACTTCGTGAGCGGTTGTCATTGTATTGACTTTTGACAGTTATATTGATGTATAATTATAGTCAATTATAGTAAAAAGTAAAAAGTGCAGTTAAATAACACGCGCGAAGCGCGCGTCTGTAATGCTCTAAAATGATGCATAAAAATAGATTTAGAATATTTTATCATATCCACCATAACATATCAAATAAATATTTTAACAATATTTTATCCAAATATTCAATAATATTTATAACATATTTTTTGGGAATATTTATTCAAAAAAATCTCAACAGGAAAACCTTAGCAGTTTTGTATTTCCGTCATTATGTCCAAGACATTTTGATGACGTAGGATAAAGGAGTCATTAATGTCACAGATTTTTAACGTCATTATATTTTATAAAATCATTATTTTATCATGAATTTAATTTTTACTAAACGTGATGTGTAATTATTAAATAAATTAAAAACCAAATTAGTATGTGTATATAATTTATGCTATTTATATGTTATATAAAGTTACAAGTTAAGAGGATGCTGAAAGGTCGGCCAAATTTGTACAAGGTCGATAAAACAGACTCTTCAGTGTCAGTGGTATCTCTAAATGAACTTTTTACAATATCTTCTGGTCTCACTCAAACACGTGGAATGTCCTTATTTAACTTATTGAAGTGCCATCTCTTGGAAAATCCGGCACTTACTACCAGACGCAATTTTTGCGTCGAATTACCACAAATTGCATTCTAATGAACAACTTTTTTTCTATACTTCTAATTGTAGCTCAAAAAGTCTTGTATTACTCGTGCAAGTAATCCGATGCGCGCTAGGTATTTTTTTTTTGTACATATAAGCTGCAGAACTTTTTGTACCAATAAAAATGTTTACGTCAGGTGATAGGTTAAGATACCCAAAAAAAAGGTATTTTTGAACTATTTTTTCGTTTTTACTATTCATATATACCTAGCGCGATGACATTTTATGTCTATTTCAATCCTGTAAAAGCGTTTTTAAATCCGTTCAATCGTTTCGGTGTTATCCATTAGAATTGCAAATGTCGGTAATTCCCGACCTTTCAGCATCCTCTTAAGAAAGCGATTATTAAAATTTTATATGTTTTTGTTTATTCTTTTTTTGTTTTCCCTAAATTTCTTCTACTATGTTCCTTCCCTTTCCTCTGCCTTTTGCAATATATTGTAATTATTTATCGCTCAATATTCAATTTGATTTTTCTTTAATTTATAATATTTATTATTGCACAATTAGCGCAATTTGATATCGATATGTATATATAATCAATATATATCGATGATGTCAGCTTTTACTGTTTTTCAATTGTCATAACGAGTTAATATCACGTCGTGTCAAAGTGTCAGTAATTGCTGCTCATCAAAATGACGCAAGAACAAGAAGTAAGTATTTGTAATATTTACATATATTTCTTAAATTTAAATTCTATTTAATATAGGAAGA